TTTTCTTTGCAATTCTCTCTTTTTGGCAGTAAATTCACTGGAAATTTCTTCTACGACTACATGATGGGGATCGAATTTAACCCTCGCATTGGAAAGTGGTTTGACTTCAAGCTGTTCTTCAATGGGCGCCCCGGAATTGTGGCCTGGACCTTGATAAACCTGTCCTATGCAGCAAAGCAGCAGGAGTTATACGGGCAGGTCACCAACTCTATGATCCTTGTCAATGTCCTCCAGGTAGGTTCTGAGTATAATGTGCCTGAAACTCTGTATGAGGAAGGCCGTATATCATTTAGAAACTGATGGAGCGAGCGGTCCATCAGTTTCAGTTCGGATTGTTGTCTAAAGATGAACCCATGTTTATCCCAACCATGTTTAAACTCAGTCATTGGCTCATTACCTCTGTGGGAAGTCTGTTCTTAGTCTTTCTGTAAAACAATACTTTTTGAGGGTTACTCCGGAACTTCCCCCTGCTAGTTGGAGATCATGTGCCGTGTTCTTGAGCTAATAATATATACAGTATTAAGTTCCTGCAGTCTCTCCTGATGTGTTTTATCCATCAAACCATGCACCTTCTTTGGTGCAAGGAAGGGGAGCCCGCTCTATTCCCTTATGCCCCATGGTTTTAGGATGAGATGCCTTACAAGCTCATATAGCCATGATGGCCAGGTGTCCACAGATTTGTATTCTTATATTACAAACAGGAATCCAATTACTTGGCCAAGTTGTTGAGACTGGGCAACTGTGTACTTGTTCATTGCAGGGGCGGGACTATCTGTGCAAAAGCAATGTGAATGGTATTGATGGGGGTGCTGGAAATCAAAGATGGCTACTAAACTCTGGTTTGAGCCCTCCTCTCCTTATGCACTCAATGCACCCAATCCCGTGGAGCCACGTCACTTGAAGACCACTCAGCAATTGTTCAACATTTAATTTCCTTTTAACTAATAATAGATGAAAAACTTACATCTCAAATTGCATACACAAGGTGTCAACCATCCAACTTTTTGTCCATGCAGGCCATCTACGTGGTGGATTTCTTCTGGAACGAAGCCTGGTACCTGAAAACGATAGACATCTGTCATGACCATTTCGGCTGGTACCTGGGATGGGGAGACTGCGTCTGGCTGCCTTTCCTCTACACTTTACAGGTAAGGAGATGACAGGTGCCAACCATTCTATAAGAACAGAACCCATTTGTTAAAGGGCCAGGCCACCCAGAGGTGATATTTTAGTTATAGGTGGGACATTGTAGGCTGTATTAGCCCCTGGTTTGTTATAGGGCTTGGATGTGACAATGGTGCCATCATTCCTGGCTCTGTTCTCATTACCTTCGAAGCTTTGAGTGCTCCTTTGTGTGTTCCATCTCCTCCTGTTATGTTCTCCATTACATATAAAACAAAAATCCAGCAGGGATAGTGGGAGACCCTCACATTGAGAACAACAGACCTGGGAACTCAGTGTAGAGGCCTTGCCAATAAAGTCCTGAAGAAATATATCTCTCCATACTCTGGCAGATACTGAAATATCAGTTTTGGTTGGCTTGACTGTTTAGCCAATCCTGCTGCCTAAATAAGTAATTATCTTCTCTAGACTTTGTGCTATTGGGCCCAGTAAAGAGCCAAATGACTGACAGACTATGGACAAGGTTGTGACTTGGTTTGAAATGTCTGTCCACCCAAAAAATATGTTTTTGGTACATCAGCTTTTTCTTTTGGGGACTCTGGCTATGAGATTGAATTAATTGAACCCCCCCCCCCGGTCC